AACATTGCACTCTCTAGTATAAGAAATGCGCAATTTCTAATGGGTATGACGTGACGATAATTTCTGTGAAGTCAAGTGAAACAAGTGCTTCTGCAAAAGCTGACCATTTTCGCCGCTTACAGGCTTACAGTTTTTACGAACATTTTCCCCATCCTATCATTTCAATTTACCTAAGTTATATAAATGGTTCTAGTTCTCATCAACATTGTATATAATGAGAGAACATGCACTTCTATATTTCAACTCTTTAAGTTTAAAACATTACAAAAATCAAGTATATAACAGTTTATAACCTGTTTTCTCTCTTTTAAGAGTCTTTTTAACAGAATAAAAAAATGAGACACAAAAGTACATTTTAACTTAAATTATAAGTAACGTTAATATATATATATATAATTTTATTCAAAATCTCTTCTATGGCTTTGTCCCCAACATCTAAGTTTACAAACCTCGTGACATTCAACCAGGGCTTTAGCCAGCGCCCGTTTTACCGTCAATTGACGGTATTTTTTCCCGTCGGACGGTAAAAATTTAAGTCCTTACCGTCAACATTGACGGTCAAAAATCGTGGGTGAAGACATTAAACTTAGCAAAAAATGTAGCGAATTTGAATGAGCCACGGCGCGGGGTCTTTCCAAAGCGCGTCGCGTCTTTTCAAAACGCCGCGGGCCCACACATTTCTTATTTAAATACGGCGGGAAACCTGACTTCAAGGAACGTGCCGATGTCTGTTAACTCGGTTCTTTTCTTCAATGTTGCTGTCTGTTTAAACAACATGTGCTAACGGCCACATAAGAACAATGGCTCGACTCAGACTCACGCTGGTAACTGTACATGACAATAAGATAAATAAACAACATGTGGCAACGAACAAAGAAATATCAAACGTTTTGAAAATATACTGTACTTGAATTTTCATACCATCGCAAGAAAACGGAGATCGATCTACGCAAAGTGGCTTTATTATTTATATAAACTTCGTTAAACCACCTTCGAAGACTTGAGCGGCAGCATAAAGATAAATTTTCTGGAGCCGATCGCTGAAGCAAGTTTTTGCCGGCGTACGTAACTCCCTCCGCGGCAAAATCCCATATGCCGTAGCGAAATCGCGTCTCAGCACTTCCCCAAATCAACTCCATGGCCGCTAAAGTCTGCAAATGAGGTTAAACTTCCTCATTTCGGTTGAGAAGCGAAGCTACTAGTATAAAATCATGTGCATGGCGGCCATTTTGTTTGCTACCCGAAGTCTTCCGAATGATCTAAATAAGGAAATCGTCGGAAATCTGAGCCACATCCCTCGCTGTCGGCATGCGCTCGGGGCTGGCTCGGTGGAAATCGGAGGCTGTGGCGTCAGGACTAGGTTTATTTGCATGGCTCGGGAAGCCGCCGCGGCTTGAATCGCAGCGGGATTTGGGCGCCGGGCGGGTCAAACAAAGGGAATATGAAGTTGTGAGGACCATAGTTTTTTTTTTTTTCTTCAAATTGCAGATTGTGTAATTTTTATCCTGAAATCTTGAAAATCTATCTGCAAATTGCAGACTGAAGACGGGTATTTAGAACACTGAATACATGAAGTGTGCGGGGGGGCATGATGTCGATCACCGGATCATGATTTTTTTTCGCGTTGACCCTGATTCAACCCTAAAATAATACTCGAAGAGAACTTCAAAAGTCATCTTTTACTAATCATATATAATTGTTTACATTATATCATTTGATCAACCTGATCCATTAAAAATTGTCAATGGAAAATACCTTGCCAAACAATGCAATACCTATTTAAGTTAATTAAACACTCACTCATTAATTAATTAATTTCCTAAAATACAAAAGACATGTTGGTGAAAGTTAGGCACCCAGGTAATATCAATAGTTCCACGGACAGCTATGTAGGCCGGAGCTTCTATTGCGTGCGATCTACGTTTGGTCAGAAAATACACCCCCCCCAACACACACACACACAAAAACACCGATCCGGGAACGCCTGAAAAGGAGGCTTTTAATAAGCTTTGCCTGCAGCGCCTTGATTGGTCGGACGTGTGACCCTCTGGACTGCCGGCTAATGGAAATCTGAACATCTAGACTAATCCACACTGCTAATGCTCATTGACATAATTTATGCAGTTTATTAAAATCCTTGATTACTGTGAATCCTTGATTATAGACATGTCTTTATCAACATTTTTGGCAAATAATAAAATCAAGTTATTGTTCAAGACAAATTAAGTTTGTTTTGTCAGCAGCTTTGTTATGCAACATTAATAGAACTATGATTTTGAAATTAGCAACCATAATGGAAAGTATACAAACGTCCAAGGCATAAATGGTAAAAAGTGCACTTGCAACAACGACATCTAGCGACATGCGGCAACTCAGTATGTCTGCATGGCCGTCGCAACAACGACATCTAGCGACATGCGGTGACTTAGCATGTCTGCATGGCCGTTGAAGGGTGGAACCGTTGATCCATCCATCCGTTGATCCAATCTCAATCTCGTCTGAGTTACCATTTTCGCGCATGCGAAAATGGTAAAAAAAAATGTTTGGAAAAGCGGTTCAACAAATAACAGTAACAGAAATGTGTCCGTGAATTTAGACTTTCTCATGGCGGTAAGCTGACCCTCCCCTGGGAGTGAACTAAAGTGGACTGGTCCAACTTCTTTCTATGTAGACGTAGGTGGAGGTCCAATGCTCTCAAAGCTATGTGAATAAACTAAAGAAATAAACAAATTAAACATAACCTGCCATTTTTCATCATAATGATTTGTTAATCACCATCATAAATTCTACTTTTCATACAATGTCAAATTTGCATTTCGACTTTTTTTTGGCTCAGAGCTTACTTGACAATAGGAAGCCTGTGTGCTGTTTGTGATTGTCTGGTATCAGACATGTTTTTTTTTTGCTGGAAATTGAATTTTCGGCTCGTGATGTTTCATATGTCAAAGGTGATGCTCTTTCCTAAGGGCGTACATATGATTAAAACGAGGAAAGAATCTCATGGGGAGAAAGAGTGGACTTAGTCATGGCGAGACGCGAGAAATGATGATGATAAAGATATACTATGATGAAGGCAGTTATGCTACGGGAAAGACGAAGCATCTCTCAAAATTCCTCTATTAAATATTTGCAAAAACTGTCACGAATGTGTTCACACAAAACTCTTCTAGAGCCTCTCTGAACTATCAGGCAGTGACCACTTTATGGGGAAGTGTTAAAACTTAGTCATAAGTTTCTTGATTATATTTTGTAGTTGTATCCTGTGTTCTATATATATTATGAGTCGACGTCATTCATAATACTGGAGTCTATCATTGACACTTTTAGATCTAACCTAATTTATTAAGTTGTATCTTCCCACAAAATTCGCTCCCTCACTCGGAAATACACAATGGTTAATACCTTGATGTTTATTCAATATGTACCATGATTTACACGTATCCTTGTTAGGGCCGACGTAGAGGCATCAGGAGTCTTCATAGAGATAGTACCGTAAGTGCATGTCTTATTTTTTTTATTCACGTAACACCATTATTATATTTGTGTATATTTTACGGGGTTTTCACAATTTAGATGAAAGTAAAACGTAAAAAAGATTAGAAAAGTTCAGCAAAAACGCTTGAAAATTGTGGAAAATGGTTTGATTTGCTCATCTATTTGGTAGTTCTTGATATAACCATCAAAATTACGAATATCGTTTTTTTAATACAGAACTTGCTCACTTATTAGAAAAGCACTACGCTACAGCCGTTAGTTTCAATGTCCACACGCGTCTCTGGTATTATATATCATAGAGACAACTAATATTTTACTAATGAATATCTGTGAAAAATAATCTCGTAGAAAAAGTGATGAAATTAGTGATTACATAATAGATGATTCCAAGCTCCTGTATACAATATATTTCTTTGTGAAGATGTATGAAAAGAAACATTTGCAAGAGAAATATACCCGAAAACAACAGGCTCAACTAAACCTACAGTCAGCTGACGCTTCCGGGCAAAACAGATGTACAAATTGTCTGGTGTCAAACGACAAAACGTGACTTTTCTTGATTTACATGGAAATTGGATGATCTTGTCTGCCTATGACGCAGTCTGTCTTACACAATCTCTCGTTGTCACTGCCTGATTGGGCCTCCTCCCTGAGAGCATGTTGTCATCCATCTCTAACTCCAGAGAGCCATTCCCATTCCAAGATCTGCCAATGGGAGCCCAGGGTTCTTTATTACTACGAAATAAGTCCAATAAGAGCCCAGGATTCCCTGTCACTATGGAAACCAGTCATCACTCCCTCTTAAAACACTATGGTGACAAACTCTCTAGTCTGACAAAATTGGTCCATGTTGGCACATATGCATAAATGAACAGCTGGGATTAAGATATTCCCAATTCTCCTGGCTTAGAGGTATTTGCCATCAAGCTTGAAGCCTGACCAATGACAAGTTATAAGTCATTTTGTGCATCGTGCGTAGTTAGTACATTTTTTTCTGTATATCTTCCATTTGCATTAACAGAACCATTGGTGAAACCTGCAACAAACTACAGCGGATCAAGCCCCCAACAAACGATTCCTCCGAAGAAAGTATGGCAGAAGCAATGGAGAAAGCTGTAGAAGGTGTCAATCTCCACATTCCCGGAAGATGCCAGGAAAACGATGCTCGCGATGATGCCGCTAAGAACGGCAGTGATGCTAGTGGCGATTCATTCATCCAACAATCTGCTGATTTTGATGTCTGCACCCAGCTATACGCTAGTGAAGATTCCTGCATCCAACCATATGCTGTTGCATATCAGAAACATGGGGAAGATGACAAAGGCAGCCACCTAGCCACATCACATGGTAATACAGTTGGTGAGGCCTCGCCAATGACACCTAGCGACTCTGGTGAAGACGACATCCAACCATATGCTGTTAAAAACCAGGAAGATGATGATGATGATGGCAATGATAGCCACCTAGCCACAGCACATGGTAATACAGTTGGTGAGACCTCGCCAATGACACCTAGCGACTCTGGTGAAGACGACATCCAACCATATGCTGTTAAAAACCAGGAAGACGATGATGATGATGATGATGGCAATGATAGCCACCTAGCAACAGCACATGGTACTGCAGTTGCTGAGGCCTCGCCAACGACACCTAGCAACTCTGGTGAAGACGACATCCAACCATATGCTGTGGGGCACGAGAGAGATGACAACAATGATGCCAATGATGATGATGACACAACCGCAGAACGTGGGGAATTAGGAGCAGGCAACAGACCAAACACAGTCCTTTTGACGAAGTCAACATTTAACTTAAACTCCATTTCTTTCAACTCGATTGGCCCTTTTTGTAATCTCCAAGCAGATTCTGCGGTGGCAAGGCTGTAGCCAATTGGCCAAGCAGGGTCCATTGGCCACCTAAGTTATATATGGACACTGCTTGCCCAATTAGACACTGCATTGCCACCGCGGAATCTGCTTGAAAATCACTTTTTGAATGCTGTTTCCTGGCAAGAAAAGAAATTAATTATCTATAGTATTTGTTTTGTATCTATTATGAGTAATATTTTTTTTATGAAATAGTATTCAATTTTCCTTACAGTCGATAGGGAGTTGTAATGATACTCATTTTTTTCTTCAGAATGTCGGTGGATCCAGGTGCTCGTTGTTGTCGTGACGGTTGGGATGATTGTGTCACTAATCGTTGGCGGGATCTTTGCTGTGAAAGCCAGCATGGGGGGTCCTCAGTTGGTAAGACGGTCTATCCTGTTGCTAGTCTATTTATAAATAGTTTGTACAATGAACAAATGTTTGTACGAGTATATCAATGGAATATGTACTGTATCAGTATTTTAGGAGGAGTGCTGGGCCTTTCCCAAGTGCATGCTAAGGACTCGAACCCAGAACTTTTACATTCAACCCAGGACATGATAAGGATTTGAACCCGAAACCTTTAGATTAGAGTTAACAACCCAAATCACAAGTCCACCTTGCCACCCATGTAGCTTCCTGGTGCTTGAGAAAAATCGGCAAAGAAAATGATTATTTTACTGCTTGTGGCAAAAACTAACATTTTCTTAGGGCAATGTTTCATGCGGTCAACGAGTTGATAACCAAAGACATTTTCCAATCTACAGTCAAAGCAGACTGTGGAGAATGTCTCAGCAACTGGTTTCTCTGGATGCTGCACTTCTGCTGAGACCACACTGTCGGCAAGCACCCAAAGCTCACAAGGTATTACCTTTTTATTGATATTCATCAGATTACCTGTGCTGGAAGTTACGTGTTTCAAGTTAAAACGTTTGATCCAACACAAAGACGTTCTCTCACCTTGAGCTTTTGGTCAGTCATTCTGGTCTTCCTCATCAGTAGACTATCAGATACCTTTGACCCAGTGTTGACCTCACACTTCAAAGAAGCCACGTGACAAGCTTCACTGGGTCAGTCTACTGAGGAAGACCAGAGCGACTGGTCGAAAGCTCTAGGTGATAGAGCGTCTTTGTATTGGAGCAAAAGATTTTATTCAAAACATCTGGCTATATCACCTTTTCAAGATGTCAACCCTGTGACCAGACTGTAAGGTTTGAACCACTCACACGGGGAAGAACCAATGCTCTTTTCGATACATGTGGCTATATTGTGTTGATAAGAAGTGTTCCGAAATGTAAATACTTAAGATACGATTTTTATTACTTATTGCAGAAATCGCTGGCAGAAAGTTGGAGAAGATCACCATTGGTACATGTAAGCGCGGAAACAAACCCGGGGAATTTAAGAGTAACTACGGAGTTGCCGTGTCTGCTGACAATGAAATATTTGTGACTGATTACTTCAACAAACGAGTCCAAGTCTTCAGCATAAACGGGACCTATCTCCGCCTCTTTCCAACCGTCGTGCCGGGTGAGTCTAGCAGAATACCAATGTACACTTCTGGTGTTGCTTTTGACGTGAACCCTGAATATTTATGGGTTCTGGGGTTTCCTACACCCGTTCAAGTTAACGGGCATGTCGTGCTGTACAGTAGGAACGGCCGGCCCATAAAGACGTTCGACGTACGCTTCCTGGACCGAAATCGGGTTCAATATCCCGTCATTGCCATGGACACGCGCAACAATAAAGTCATCGTGGGGGAGGGGGATACAATAAGGTTGTTTCATCCCAACGGGACTCTCTATCGGAGTATAAACACTGGAACTCCAAGACAGGGGATTATGGGTGTCACTTCGGACAGGGAGGGAAATATCCTACTTAATGATGGGTTTAAAACCATCATGGTGTACAGTCCATCCGGGGAGAAGATATTTCAATTTGGAACGTTTGGAAGAAACATGGGTCAACTGAATTCCCCGAAGGGTGTTTGTGTGGACACCTCTGGTCGCATCATCGTGGCTAACCGTGGAAACAACCGGGTAGACATGTTCGGGCGCTCGGGAGAGTTTGTCCGCACTATCGGGAACGTTACCAAGCCGTGGGGTATCGCAATGGGACCGGATGGGGATGTGGTTGTGACTAGTCCACATTGCCGTAGGGGTGGCCCAAAGGTCTCTATTTTTCCAGGCCACATGGTGTTCCTTTAGAGCTGCATTGCGTAACATTATGATGATACAAATTGTAGATTTTCTGGTCATTTCTTTACAAATTAGGTTGAATCAAGCCTACCCAATCGCAAATAAATGCCATTCATGAAAGTGGAGGGGCCAAAATATGACCTTAACTCAAGAGTTTGTTTAGAAAATACAGCTGTCCGTCATTTTTGTTTACATTCTGGTCGTTTGTGGTGGTGCAGTCTATCAGCTCTTAAAGGTTAAGCATGTACATCATACATGTACAGTCCCATTCCCAAGTCTACGCCCACGTCTACATAAGAATAAGTCAAGTCCACATATATTCTGCCAGGGGAGGGTCATCTTAACGCCACGAGGAAGTCTAAATTCATGGCCAGATTTCTTGAATTCATTTAAAAGAAATGATCCTTTTTCTCATTTCATTGCTATAACCGATTGCCCTCACGATTTTGAGAATAGAGTGTGCCTATTGTCTTATAGAGTAGAATGTTAAGAACCTTGATATGTTTATTCAATGTATGGTCGCCCACGCACATACCACCTCCGGGCACTGAGTCTAGATTGTGCCGCTGAGGTCGGTTTTACCCCACAAACCACCCTCCAAGTCTCTCGATGTGTACAAAATGTCTTTATCCTTGTTCTTCACATCTGAACAGAATTCCATTATGTGATATTCTTACACCACAACCTCTTAGAGATAGTGATTCTTGTAATTTAGAGGGTTTTCTTTTTTAACGATCTGTAGTAGAACATTGTTGAGTACGTACAATGTGACTTTGTTTCATCTTTGTTGAACGAAACAGAAAAACAGCACACATTGTACAGAAAATTGCACCTAATTTTGAGGATTTTCCTTTTAACAATCTGCAGTAGAACATTGTTGAGTATATACCATGTTTTACCTAATTTTGAGGATTTTCTTTTTTAACGATCTATAGTAGAATATTGTTGAGTATGTACAATAAAGATTTTGTTTTATCTTTCTTAAACGAAACATAAAACTGCACATATTGTACAGAACATTGTACCTAATTTTGAGGATTTTTGAACGATCTGCAGTAGAACATTGTTGAGTATGTACCATGAAGATTTTGTTCATCTTTCTTAAACGAAACATAAAACTGCACACATTGTACAGAAAATTGCACCTAATTTTGAGGATTTTCTTTTTAACAATCTGCAGTAGAACATTGTTGAGTATGTACAATAAAGATTTTGTTTTATCTTTCTTAAACGAAACATAAAACTGCACATATTGTACAGAAAATTGCACCTAATTTTGAGGATTTTCTTTTTAACAATCTGCAGTAGAACATTGTTGAGTATGTACCATGAAGATTTTGTTTTATCTTTCTTAAACGAAACATAAAACTGCACATATTGTACAGAATATTGTACCTAATTTTGAGGATTTTTGAACGATCTGCAGTAGAACATTGTTGAGTATGTACCATGAAGATTTTGTTCATCTTTCTCGAACCAAACTTAAAAACGGCACATATTGTACACAATATTGTTCCTAATTTTGAGGATTTTCTTTTTTAACAATCTGCAGTAGAACACTGTTGAGTATATACCACGTTTTACCTTTCTTGAACGAAGCATAACAACTGCACGTATTGTACAGAAAATTGCACCTAATTTTGAAGCAAGAAACATGTAGCATATCAGTATGTGGTGAATTGGCAACACATCTTCAAGTCACACCAACATCAGCTATAATCCCATTTTGGACAAAGCGCATGTACGTACTTTTAATCTTAGCGCTGACATGAATTGTCTGGTTTCAGAAGATGACTCGTGGGCTGCTTCATCTGCATAGAAATGAGTTGATTCTGTCTGTTACAAATGTTAAGGTTTTGATGATATGATCTCTAATGATATATAAGTTGATTCCTCTGATATAGCTTTATTCCTCACATCTTGATGTATACCTTACTACTAAACAGTTACTTCGCTGCTACAATAATGCTGGTATATTAGAGTACATGTAAAAAGGAATATAAGAATTGATATTGTATGAATCAATTTGTATAATGAAATTATCTGACCTCCCAAGCACACTAAGACACTAAAACTCTGCTAAGTTATATTGAATAAACATATTCTGTGGGATCTTTCTCTTACTGTTGTACATATACATGTATTTTGTTTCATTGATATATAAGGATATTTTGACATGTCTTCGGTAACTGGCTGTGTTATGTTGGGGCATTGTTTAATATGAATAAAAACTTCACGTAATTATAAAGCTATCGTTATTCACGAAAAGGCAAGAAAACAGAGTTTTCAGCCAATCCCATTAAAATCAGATTTGCTAGAGAGTCCCTAACCAAAGCTAGGCACCCACTTTCAGTTGAGCCAACAAGCAAAAAAATAGGTGTAAAGAACCTTTCTTAAGGGAACAACATTGGGGTCTCCCAGGAATTCTAGCCCAATACCTTTAGACTCTAAATCACAGGGAGGCGGGGCCTAACAAAAAGTTTGAGACCATCTTTGTCAATGGGAAGTATGAGGGTGTAGAAACGATCATAAATGTACATGTATAGTCTACCAGCTTTCAAAACTCAATTACTACTAGGTACATCACACATGTACAGTCTTGCCAGCTTTCAAACCTACACCCACGACCACATACGTAAAAGTTGGATCAGTCCACTTAAACTCCTCCCAAGGGAGGGACAGATTCACGTCTAAAATTCTAAATTGATGTTTCTGCAAAAAAAAAATTCTTTACGAAACCACTTTCTCTTCACACATCTTTTATTTCACTGCCATAGCCTTTTTTTTTAAAGATTGGTCTGCTCGGAAATCTAAACTAGTTGCTTTACTAACCCCTTTATTCTAAGTCAAGAACCCTAATGACAAGACTACCTTGCCTGCTTCGTTGATGAGAAGTACGTGGGTGTAGAAAGAAAAGTTCATCAGACATGAATAGTCTACCAGCTCCAAAAACCTCAATATTACTACAAGGTTCATCACACACGTATTGTCTACTGGCTTTCAAACCTACACCCACATCCACAGACGAAGAAGTTGGATCAGTCTACTTTAACTCCTCCCAAGGGAGGGACAGCTTATCGTCTAAAATTCTAAATTCATGAGCACATTTCTAAAAAAAGTCTTTTCAAAACCACTTTTTTTCACACGTTTTGCGTTTCATGCTAATCTTGCTTTAACCGATTTTTCGTTTTATCTTATGAACAATACAATGTGGCCATTTTTTGGACTTCAGCGTTAAACACCCTGTTGTTTCTATATAATACCAGACAAGACACCTTTGCGGGGGAATTTATGACGTCTGTGGAATATGTTTATTCAATAGTTACATCATCTCCCTGCACTGAGTCTCTATTTCGCTTTTGTGGTCGGTTCTCTCTGAAGACAAGTCGCTCGTCAAAGTCTTACTGTAAGTACAGAATGTCTGAATCTTTATTCTCCATATCTCCATATCACCTTACAGTAGCACTCCAAGATGTAGGTACTGTTAATGTGTTGATAGGTTTGGTAATGTAATGTAATTTGTAATTTTTATAATGACTCCAGCTGTTACGAACTAACAGTGTGTTGTAATTTAAACACGACACTACTCATCATGGTAATGTAACTGTTAAGGCGCGTCTATATGTTCCCCACAAAGAAATAATTGAAATCTATGAAGATCAACCTCAGGTTCACCGAGTAACATATTTCATATCGGTAAACATATATGCGAGGAACCGCTAAAATAACTTTCAGTGAAACCAACATGTCAGCTACAACCTCAGCTGGAACAACACGTGCTTCAAGCACTGATAATAAGTAACTGTTTAGACAACCCTATATTTCAACCAAGAAATAACTGAACATTTATGACATCAAGTTAGCCAAGAAATATGTAATATATTACTATTTGAGGAACCGCTAAACAACTTCAAATAAAAGCAACAATATAAAAAAACCCAACCCCAGTCAGGACAACACGTAGTTCAAACTCATGATCTCAGCACTGACATGAATTGTCTGGTATCAGAAGACGACTCGTGGGCTGCTTCATCTACATGAAGATGTTTTGATTCTGTCTGACTTTTTCCCAGTGATATTTACAGTGCACATAGCGATACAGGTTGAGGATAGAAATTGTTTAAATGTGCTGTGTTCTGATAATCAAATTATAGTAATAAGCAAAGACTAAACATGATCATCACCATCGCTGCATTTCAACGTAGAACATCAAGGCAGACTTTAGCACAGTTATAATGTTTGTAGTTATGCATGTTTATGTTACATCTACATGTTGTACAATTTGAATGCAGAATCTCTTTGATTGTTTCCGTCCTATTACTTACTTATTACTTACTTACATGTAGAACTAAACAAAGGAAGAGATCTTGGAGCCATGGCTGAAAATATGCCATCCAACACCGAACCAAAAGCAACGGTTGTCAGAAACGAAGGTATGGCAAAGCCATCCACGTTCAGGCAAGCTGCCGAAGGTGCCAGTCACCACATCTCTGGTCGATGTGAGGAAAATAAAGACAATGACGATGAAAATCTGTCCGACACAAGCGATGCTGCTGCTGAGAACATTCAGACAATCGATATCGGCCCTGGTGAGTTTGATACCTACGCCATTGCATACATATGCAAAGAACAGACTATTCGCATGAAGAAAGCCGTGGAAGAGACCAAAAGCAAACCTTTTCAGGCAACTAAAACGGCGCCCGACAACACTTATAATGATAATGATACTGAAACTTCAGCTTTCAATGCAAATGACAGCAACATGCACGCACAAGCCAGGGATCCGAACCCGACGTACACACAAAATATGAACCCTCAACCGATGGACGCCGAAAACGACGTTAACCCGAATCCGATGTACCTGCAAAGCACCATGGAGCCAATCGCCAGCCCTGGTCCCGCCAGGAATCCAAACCCGATGTACACACCTAACGCTACGAACACTTCTCCGACGCACTCCAGAAACGACGTTAACCCCAATCCGATGTACCTGCAAAGCAGCCCTGGGCCCACCTTCAAGTCAAATAAGAGTGATGACAATCCCTGCACCCAGACATCAGCTGATACACATCAGCAAGCCTTCTCCAGGCCAGCGACTAACAACGATGACAACCATTGTCTTCAACCATATGCTGTAACACGCTGCCAACCAGATGCATTTACACATCATGAACTTGATATTGCTGTTCAATACGAAGAAGATGAAACATTCGGTGAGTCAGCAAACAATGATGGCAATCCCTGCATCCAACCATATGCAGTTACCCACCAAGAAGACCAGGAGCCCTCACTCAACTGTGATGGTGGCCAGCTGCCAGATGAGGTCATTCAACCATACGCTGTCGCATACATGTGCCAGGGTGACTTGGAGCGGAACACAACTTCGGAAGACCTGTCCTCCCAGAATCAGAATCAACCAGCGGCGGCTTCGAACAATGATGTCCTGCATGCACTCGATCCAAATCCGGCGTACGCTGCCGCAGACATGTGCCAGGGTGACGTGGAGCGGAACACAGCTTCAGAAGACACTCAAGGAAGCCTGTCCTCCCAGAATCAACCAGCGGCGGCTTCTAACAGCATCAATGACGCCAATGATGCCCTACACGCACTCAATCCAAATCCGATGCATGTGCCAAACGTCCAGCATCCTGCAGCGCACGGTAAGAACTTTATCAACTTCATAAACCTCTTGCTGGAGAAAAATCTTGGAATTCTTTTATTGTCATTGGTAATTACCTTGTTGACACAACGCCCTAAAATACAAATCATTATATGTATTTTCAACAGATCTGCTGTTATCTGCACTATTTCAGATGATTAGTCAGTAATTATCCTAGTAATGGAGACAGTTGAAAATGTGATCTCTATGTACTAATTGTTGTTGGAATAAAGTTCCAACATTTCGCTATGATTACTACCAACATGATATTTCAGGCTGTAAGCGTTGCCGAGTGATCTTTGCAGCGGCTGTCATTCTTGGGTTTTTCATCGTCGGAGGAGTCTTTCTGTGGTTATCCTTAAGCGCCAGGCCGCCACAGGTACGCCTCTGTCTTATTATAGCCTTGTCTATGTTTTAATCATTTCCTGAGATAGCCATCCCTTTACTGTACCCGTATACTTTATACGGGTAATAGCCAAATTGGCATCACTGGCAGTATGCATTTTGTACATGTACCTTGTAACTTAAGTCTAGACAGATATAGTACTATTCAGTAGATCACTCCTACCCTCCTCTGAGTGTATAGTGAACGAGCCCAGGAATGTATGTCATCCCCTAGCATGATTTTCCCAAGGGTTTTCAAGAATTTGGACTGTGTAGGACTGTGGGCATAGATGTGTGTCAGCAAAATTCAAGACATGCCTGTGGAAAAATTATTGTACAATTCCTAGAATTCTTGCAAACTCCACACAATACTGTACCATTAGGCCCCCCCTTAGGCGTTGCCAAAAACAACAGATGCCTTATACACACAAGGCTTAAAGTTTTCGTATTGTTGCTTTGTCGGTGAGGTACCAATTCCTGGATACTTTTAAAATAGGCAATTATTCCTTATTGTACTTATTCCATTAGAATTTGGCGCATAATACGTTGACTGTAGGTATCAAATTCAGACAGGGTACATAAAATTTAACATGATCTCCATGAACCAATTGCGATAGCCTGCATTGACAATATAATCCTCTATTAACAGCAGACAGCGAATACAACTACAACGGCTGCTACTTCTACTGCCACTACTGCTACTACTACTACTACTACTCCTACTACTGCTGCTGCTACTACTGCTGCTGCTGCTGCTGCTGCTACTACTACTGCTGCTGCTGCTACTGCTACTACTACTACTACTGCTACTGCTGCTACTACTAAAGCTGCTGCTACTGCTACTACTGGATCTATCCTCAAGCTCCCGGCAGTCTGCAACACCCCACATTACAAAGGTGAGTCTAACACGAATATTCAAGAGACAATGTCTTAAGTCCCTCTGTGTCATTAGACAATGGCTTAAACTTGGTCCCTCTGTGTCATTAGACACTGTCTTAAACTTGGTCCCTCTGTGCCATTAGACAATGTCTTAAACTTGGTCCCTCTGTGTCATTAGACAATGTCATAAACTCGGTCCCTCTGTGTCATTAGACAATGTCTTAAACTTGGTCCCTCTGTGTCATTAGACAATGTATTAAACTTGGTCCCTCTGTGTCATTAGACAATGTCTTAAACTAAGTCACTCTGTGTCATTAGACAATATCTTAAACTTGGTCCCTCTGTGTCATTAGACAATGTCTTAAACTTGGTCCCTCTGTGTCAATAGACAATGTCTTAAACTTGGTCCCTCTGTGCCATTAGACAATTTTTAAATCTTGGTTCCTCTGTGTCATTAGACAATGTCTTAAACTAAGTCCCTCTGTGTCATTAGACAATGTCTTAAACTTGGTCCCTCTGTGTCATTAGACAATGCCTTAAACTATGTCCCTCTGTGTCATTAGACAATGTCTTAAACTTGGTCCCTCTGTGTCATTAGACAATGTATTAAACTTGGTCCCTCTGTGTCATTAGACAATGGCTTAAACTTGGTCCCTCTGTGTCATCAGACAATGTCTTAAACTTGGTCCCTCTGTGCCATTAGACAATGTCTTAAACTTTGTCCCTCTGTGTCATTAGACAACGTCTTAAACTTGATCCCTCTGTGTCATTAGACAATATCTTAAACTTGGTCCTTCTGTGCCATTAGACAATGTCTTAACCTTGGTCCCTCTGTGTCATTAGACAATGTCTGAAACTTGATCCCTCTGTGTCATTAGACAATGTCTTAAACTTGGCCCCTCTGTGTCATTAGACAATGTTTTAAACTTGGTCCTTCTGTGCCATTAGACAATGTCTTAAAGACTTTGCTTCTCTCATTAGACAATGCCTTAGACTTGGTCCCTCTGTGTCATGAGGCAATGCTAGGATATTGGATTGGACAATGAACAAGATTATTTCTTATGGTGAGTGAAAGAAGCTATATGCATTAGGGCCCGATGTGTGTGTGTGGTGTGTGTGTGTGTGTGTGTGTGTGTTTGTGTGCGTGCGTGGCGTGTGTAAATGAACATGGTTTATATTTTAGTTTGAAAAATACTTTTTTATCACTCATGGCAAAAGGTGGTGACGTTAAGCAAGAGAAGATCACGTTTGGCGGGAAGGGAACAGAACCTGGAAAATTCCAAAGTATCTCTGGAGTTGCCGTGTCTACTGACAATGAGATATTTGTGACTGATGAGTTAAACAAACGAGTCCAGGTCTTCAGTATGGATGGGACCTTTCTCCGCCTCTTTCCAACGGTACTGCCTGGTGAACGTAAGACAATGCTCGAACCTCATGGTGTTGCTTTGGACGTGGCGCCTGGCTACCTGTGGGTAGTGGTAAGGAGAAGAATATGGTTCCGCTATGAAGACCATATCGTACAGTACAATAAGAACGGACGGCCCATAAAAAAATTTGACGTAAGCCTCAAGAACCAATTATATTCCGTCATCGCGATGGACGTGCGCAACAATAAAATTATCGTGGGAGACAAAAGTACAATTATGCTGTTGGACCCAAACGGCTCTCGCCTTTGGACTTCAGAAGTGGGATCTTTTGAGTCAAACGGGATCTCGGGAGTCACATCGGACAAGGAGGGAAATGTCCTGCTAACGGATGGGTATAAAAGCGTCTACAAGTACAATCCCTACGGAGTAAAGATACTTGAATTCGGCACCCGTGGAAGGGGGGAGGGGCAACTGTACTCTCCCAGAGGTATTTGTCTGGACACCTCTGGTCACATCATTGTGGCGAGCTTTCATACCCACCGGGTAGACATGTTCACAAGCCAGGGCAAGTTTGTCCGCACCATCGCGGACATTAGCCACCCGGAGAATGTCGCTATGGGACCATGTGGAGAGTTGGTTGTGAGCAGCGTATTTTATAACACTGTTACTATCTTCCCACGGCAAATGGTGCTTCCTTGAAGCCCTAAATTGTGTTCACTTTATGGTTGATTTTGTTATCTCTGCACAACTGATTCTCTTTTGTTAATGTACAATACATATTGTATAATCAACTGTTATGGTGGTATAAGCCCACACAGGCTGGGCGCGGGAAGCCTCATTCATTTCATTGTAACGCGTAGATTGTCAAAATTGTTGTCTTTGAGATGACATCTATACCAATCTTAGTGCACTAAATGGTTCTCCAGATGTTCAGGTCCAGACCTGTACCTAAATACGTCAGTGAAGGTTAGAAATCCACTTAATAAGATACACCAAAAAAGGTAGTGGATGATACTTGAAACATCTGACCGTTTCCAAAAGCATATCCAGTTGCTTGAGTAACTTGTTTTTTGCTGTACCTAAATAATTATACAGATACAGGTATTAAGTACATGTGGGACCAACATCGTTTTGTAGTCTCTTTTCACTCCAGATTGTATTTGAAGTAAATATATATCCCTATATTGTTTAAATTGCTTGTAGGCCTAGGGCGCATTGCAAACTGCCATAGTGGTGACATGTCACTTTGTGGCTAAAAAAAAAAAAGAAAAAAAAAAGAAGAAATTAAAGCAGGCATGTGCAAGTGTATCATAATAAGCCTAAGGATGTACATGTACTAGTATTTGACTTTGTTGTCATCGTAGCAAAATTTCACGATCTGAGGGAAATGGACATTGCAGAGAAGAAGGGGAGGGGTGTGTGTGTGTGTGTAAGAAATATAATTTGCTAAGTATCAATGGTAATGATAAGTTCACAAAGTTCACAATGCAGAAGTGACTATAAAATGCAATATGCCTGTACAACGAGTCTTCGCAATAAGACTCTTAAGACTCTCTGGACTTTACTTTAGTGCCCATGCGAGGCTTTTTGTAATGTTTTAATTTGTATATGTATTGCAATGTTAATTTGTATTTGCCAGACAAGTAACTGTAAAAAAACAGTGTTATTCACCATGTTTTTGTACTGGCCGCGAGGCTGGTTTTTATGAATAAACTGTTATAAAAACAGTGAACATGTAAGTACATGTATGGTAAACAAATCAGGAGTTAGGAAGGTGCCAGGAAAGGTACATGTATATCATCCACCATCTCTATTAAGTGTTGGCACATGTATACAGTGATATACACATGTATATGGCCGGTTTGTTTGACTGTTTGTAAATGTTAGCTGAAGGTTGTACTTTGTAATCATGACTTAGGCCACACCAATTTAATTTCTTGGTTAACGGATTTTTCTAGAAAAAATAATGGAGCGGGCGGGACAAAAAAAAAAAAAAAAGCAGGCCTAGGCATCCTATTATGGCCCAAAATGGTACGATAGGAGCCATGAAGTCAACACACCAGGCTGGTTCAAAATTTAAACAATGAATTTTGAACTTTTAATGATATCACTTTATTGAAAGATGGAATGACTGTAACAAGTAGTAAGAAAAGGACTGTTTTCAACTGTTCACGGCAAAATATGAGCATTTTGGAGCTGATTCTGAATTTTTATTTTTATTTGCAAATCAGAAAAAAATGAAGCGGCGAATCCGTTAACCAAGAAATTAAATTGGTGTGGCCTTACCAACACAAAAGAACCTTCAAAGTATGTGATTTAACTGTTTGTTATTATAGCTCTGTGCACCTTTATCTGCGTTCTTGGATACTTGGCTATCCAGAACAGTACTTGATCCTAGACCTAACCCATTCAGGCATAGAAATAGATAGGTGAGTCCAATTTCTTGTGTTGGAAGTTACAGTGCCAACTTGCTTCATCTTGACTTTTACCAACACAGATGAACTTTCAAAATGTATAATTTGTTAACTGAAGTTTATGCTCTGAAGCTGCTAGTAGTGTCTCCAGCATCCCCAGAGTGTTTAACATTGTCATGACTTCTACCAACACAAAATTCTCTTTAACTTCTACCAACGCAAAAATAATTATGTGATTTGTTAGCTGGAGTTTGTGCTCTGCGCAGCCGCTAGTAGTGTCTCCAGCGTTCCCAGAGTGTTTAACATAGTCATGACTTGAGTACCAACACAAAAGAACTTGAAAATTCTTAACTTCTACCAACGCAAAAATAATTATGTGATTTGTTAGCTGGAGTTTGTGCTCTGTGCAGCTGCTAGTAGTGTCTCCAGCTAGCATCCCAGAGTGTTTAACATCGTCATGACTTCAACACAAAAGAACTTGAGAACTACCAACGTAAAAATATGTGATGTTGTTAGCTGGAGTTTGTACTCTGTGCAGCTGCTAGTAGTGTCTCCAGCGTTCCCAGAGTGTTTAACATAGTCATGACTTCTACCAACACAAAAGAACCTGAAAATTCTCCTTAACTTCTACCAACGCAAAAATAATTATGTGATTTGTTAGCTGGAGTTTGTGCTCTGTGCAGCTGCTAGTAGTGTCTCCAGTGTTCCGAGTGTGTTTAAGAGCTGTTCCTGGTGATTTGTCTCTCGTTGTACCGACCGTAAAAGTTTCTGCAGCAGTCTGTCCACCTTTTCCGACTGCCCCACGACCGATGCGTACATGTCGATAACCAACGTTGTAACATCCAGAAGCACGCGGCAGTACTTTTCCTCACACGTCCAACGACAGAGGAACGTTAGCAGCAGTTCTAAACCCTTCTCGTCCCGGCCTAGAATAAGAAATAGACAAGAATATGATATAGTCAGGTTGGTTACAACCCGCCGTACGTGCTTCTGCGTGCTGTCTACGTGCAAAAATGTGGGCGAACGTAAATGGTGAGTACCGCCTCCGTACGGAATCCTACGGATTTGGGAGCACTCAGATACGCCGTAGAACTTAAAGTGCATGTAAAGCTTTTTCTGCGTGTGGTCTGCGGATTCACCACCCGTGCGGGCGACGGGCGACGCGCGTGCCCCTTACGTGCCGTACGTAAGAAGCACGTGTGAGTATGGCCACCTTACGGTAAAGTTGCCATTGCACAGAGAGTGTACGTTGTAAGCACGTACAACTCACCACTTGCGCAACGAACGATGCACGCAACTGCTCACGGCCAGACGTGGCGCGCTGACCACACTTTTACACCTTGCGCAACCGTGCGTTGACGCCACTCCTTCCCAACGTTTTCCGAAAAACGTAGCAGACGTGGCATCCCAATAAAACGTATAGACAAACAGCATGCACAGCGGGTTGTGACCGAGGCTTTACAGATACAGATACAGACCTGCGAGTGCTTCCCTGATGGACCCCCGCCGGATGAGTTCTTGGATCACGCCGACAGTCACTTCAGCTGGGTAACACGGCTTCAAGGCTTCATCCAGGGCCTTGGTGAATGAAGGAACGAATGAAAGAATGTATGAATAAGGACTAGAAACTATCATTTGCAAAGCAAATGCATAATGTTTACCTTCGCATATGGTCTGCTCTGTTATTTATTTATTCTTATTCAAACACATTCATATATATGGTGACAGGAGTCTAAATCCCTCCTGCTATGAAACTGCAACATGATGTAGCCCAACATCAGTTACCATAGTGACAGACGCCTGGTTCAGGTCATTGACCTTTTGTGAAACAGAGCAAAAACGATATGTTTTCCTTCAGTACACAAACATGTAAGATGTATACTATAAGCATGTACAGGGTTAACACTTGTTTATTACTACATCATTAATTAATAATTAATTAATTCAAAATTAATTCATCAAATCATGAATGCGAATTGGTACCTTGGTGCTGCTGAATGTCTTAAGATGTTTGTCAAACTTCTTGAGCTGTTCTTTCTGTTTGTGAGTCACGGAGTAGTCGGCTACGACGGGTCTGTAGTCACCGCCTCTTCCGTAGTACCTGGGCAAGAAAAAATGTAACATTCTTGTAAAAAAACCACGAACACCAAGAGAAATCTTGCGCATACTAATCTGTAGTCACCGCCTCTTCCGTAGTACCTGGGCAAGAAAAAATATTAAAATCTTGTAAAAAAACCACGAACACAAAGAGAAATCTTGCGCATACTAATCTGTAGTCGTCGCCTCTTCCGTAGAACCTGGGCAAGAAAAAATGTAACATTCTTGTAAAAAAACCACGAACACAAAGAGAAATCTTGCGCATACTAATCTGTAGTCACCGCCTCTTCCGTAGTACCTGGGCAAGAAAAAATGTAACATTCTTGTAAAAAAACCATGAACACAAAGAGAAATCTTGCGCATACTAATCTGTAGTCACCGCCTCTTCCATAGTACCTGGTCAAGAAAAAATGTAACAATCTTGTAAAAAAACACAATCACAAAGAGAAATCTTGCACATACTAACAGATGACATGCCAAGCTGTAGTCCCCACCTATTTCATAGTCAAGAAAAAAGGTAAGAATCTTGTAAAAAAACAATAGAGTCATCAGAGATTCTTACATTTCGTGGCGCCTTGTGATTAAGAGCTTAGACATGATATAAATTTTGTAGTCTGTAGTCATTGCTCATCGTAGTACCTGGTCAAGCAAAAAAGTTACAATCTCGAAAAAAGCACATGGAGTAGACTCTACTAGACAGGAGCACCAAACTGTACTTCCTAGCGGACCAACTCTGCCCATTTGAAATCCCAGCCTTGGCATGTGTCCCTACCTGCGATTGGTCACCCCTCTCTTCTTAATTTGTGTCCTTACCTGCGATTGGTCACCCCTTCCTCCCTGAATTGTGTCCTTACCTGCGATTGGTCAACCCACTCTCCTTAATTTGTGTCCTTACCTGCGATTGGTCGCCCCTCTCCTTTTCCTCTGCCTCAGCGCTAGTTTTGTGGCTGAATCCTCCCGTTTTCGGCGCTGAATAGACAACATCCCGTCGGCACACCCAACAGCCATCACATCCTCACTCGGGCAGACCCCAAAACTCAGGATGGGAGAGGGGTAGGTCAGGCTCGCAACACACTGGTAGGTTCCCACATCGTACACCTAAACAACACAAATAAATCTCAATTCATGGACTACAGAAGTACTCAATTCATGGCTTACACAAGTATGGGAGTGTATCCCAGAAAGATACTAGTAGAGGATAATTTTTGGAGACACTCCCAAATTCAGGGGAAAGTGAAAAACTGATAGTACAACATTTCATCACTCAGGTGTCAGATCATGGAGCTAGAAAAGGTTGATCAGCTCGAAGAACTCCAAGTTAATGTTGCATGGACAAAACAAAAGGCTAGGGTTGGCAGTTATTTCTAGGGTTGGTCAGGAAACAGGAAACACAACATTTTTCCCTAGGCTTTGAGGAAGTATAATCTTCTAAGGAAGTCTGTAAAACAAGTTGACACCTTGACATGTCTGTCCAGTGATGCAGACAGCAGCCGTGAGCATGTGGAGTTGAAAGCGAGAGATGTGACCGTCTTGTGGTGGTTTGTGCAGGTTGCTAGGAGACGACCGCCACCCAAAGCGTCCCAAACCTTCACACTGTTCCCTCCAGCTGACAGGAACATGTTACCTGCAGGAGGCAGACAATTGGTTAGTTAAAGCCCTCCTGCAACCAACAACATGGTCGCATATGGCGGTGCCAATCTCCGTTTCATAGCCCTTGGGCCACAAAGTTGTGCAATCACTACAGCAGGGGGCTAGTCCACTGGTAGTGGTGTGTGTTTAACTTCCATACTCTTTCTCAAATGCTGAGTGCTAAGCAGAGAAAGCAGTATGTACCATTTTTAAAGTCTTTGGTATGAATCGGCCGGGGACCTACCAAATTCAAGGCGAGCACTCTACCCACTTGGCCATTGCACTGGGGATATAGACTTAGAATAATTCATGTTTGGGACAGCATGCTGAAGAAAAAACAATGACTGGTTTTGATTGCTAGATTCGGGGAAGCATTCTTCAATGTAACATTATGGGTCTTATTTAAAAAAATGAAAGATATTGGATTTATGTGCCACAAACCTGATATATCTGATATTTTTTGGCTCAATGGAATCTGAGGAAGGTGAAATATAAACCTTCAGGGATTTTTGATTAAGGTCATTTAGAATTTCCTTGTTACCATGAGGAAACATGAGAACTGCCTCCACCGGGTGTCCATGGTCGATGGTCAGGGTCGGCTCCTGGGTTCTGCCATCCCACATTCGTACGGTGTGGTCATAACCTCCTAAACAACAACAACAACAACAACAACAACATTACTCTTTAGTCGAAACAATACACTACTAGTACACTACTAATATAGAATAGAACAGAACACTCTCTCTAAAAATAATAAAATAAGGAAAGAAACTACAGAAGAAACATTGGCAAAGCAAATGCATAATGTTTACCTGCGAGCATGGTCTGCTCTGTTAATTCTTACTCAAACACATTCACATACATGTAGTACCAGTATATGGTGACAGGAGCAGAGCAGACCATGAAACTGCAACATTATGTAACCCAACACCAGTCACCATGGTGACAGACGTCAACAAATCATGTCATTGCTCAGGTCAGAGGTCACTGTTTGGAGAAGAAGAAGAGGAATAAACAGAGCAAAAACAATATGTTTTCCTTCGGTAAACATAATGAGAAATATGCCAAAAAACAGTTACTCAAGCAACTGGATATGATTTTGAAAACGTCAGACGTTTCAGCTAGTATCCACTAGCTTTCGTCAGTGACTGAGAGACCAGAGGGGAAAGCAGGTTTATATACACAACCTGTTGATTGATATGCAAATAAAGTGAAGACAAATTTTTGGAAGTCGAAAAAGGAACAAAAGTCAGACAAGTCAAGACAAGATGATGCAAATTAGTCTGAAAGCTCCTGTTATACAGGACAGGAGCTTAAGTGTTGTCTGTCCTCGGGGCTGGGAGTGCCAAATCCCAAGTGCCAG